TTGTATGGCCCAAAGGGGGTGGTCTTTTCGCAAAGTGGAGCACTGCGGTGCACGTAGGTGCAAATGAAAGCCACTTCATTGAAAGAATCCTGTGGCAAGAGCCCGACAAAAAGATGTGAATGGCACCGATGTAGGTTCGGTTTGAGGGCCTTACCTCTGTGCTCGGTTTTGCGGGGGCTTAGTTCAGAGCACGGGGCGTCAGTTCTCTCTGATTAAAAGGGACAAACAATATGGGCGAATATGTGTTTCAGTTTCATGCTCTAGTTCATCCAACAAAAGCGGGAATCGCTCGAAGGGAAACGGAAAAGTTTTGCGAAATTGAAAAGCAAATACAGGTTTTTTTGGTGGTAGTGGTACACCTTCTATTCACATTTAGATAGAGATTGTTCACCCAAAAGGGTTCTCATTAAGCACAAAATATATGCCAGATACTATTCGGATAATAGTTAATTTAAGCCTAAAAAACGTTTCCATTTATCAGTAAAAACTATTTGTTTATAGATTCAAATACTGCACAAAAATCAAAAAATGTATCTTAATTTACTAAATCACCATGAACTACAAGTATTGATTTGCTGAAAATTCGAACTATTCTTCAATTTCTATCAAAATAAACCAGAAATATTTCATTCAGTTGAAATATTTGCATAGATACATCAACCCCAACACTTTCGGTGTAAATTGCTTAGATATATTTTGTGTCGCATTTACAAAACAGCCAACACAAAATCACCGACTAGTTTTAGTATACTAAATGTAAAATAAAATCACAAAAAAACCGAAAAAGGTGACAACTGAATTGTGAATTGCATTTTTGGGGTGCGGTTAGCCAGAGTTATTAAAGCAAATGGTAAATGGCCTGTGCTGGCCGCCAAATGGACTGTCATTAAACGGCTGGCTGGCAGTAATTAAATATTTAAACATATTTAACTGGCCCGCTGTCAGGCAAAAGTCAAAGCCAAGCATTAGCATTTCGTTAACAATTCCATGAAAATACAAACATATATATTTCGAAAACAAAATCAACTTCTGTGGGCGGCTCAAAGTTGTGTCATAAAAATCGGTGCTCGGGGGGATTGTTGTCAATCTACGAGCTGTGTAACTCCAGCCCAAAAGCGTTTTCTGTGTGGGTTCTCAAGTGGATGAATGAAAATATTTTTAGTTTCTTGGTAAATATTTTATTTTTGAGCTTTTACTTTCGTTCTTGATTGTCACTTGGTTTGGCTGGATTTTGCCATGTCATCGGATACAGTTACGATGTCCTGCAGGACATTGCCTGGCGTTAGACAAAACGATTTTGCTGTCCTTATCGCCTTGGTCCAGGCAGGCCAACAAAAGGTTGAGGGGCCCAGAAAAGAGTGTGGGGATAAATTGTTTTCCCATTTCTCTGGTCATTTTTATGGATTTACAGAGACACGCTAGATTTTGCCCCCAGCCCTGTATCCTGTATCATTGTTTGTCTGTGCTTAAGTAGCCGGAAGTAGATTTTCCCCCTCTCCGGAAAATTAATTGAGTTGAAAACGCTTTTGTTGCAATTTCCCCACGCTTGGTTGGGGTAAAATGAGATCCGTGTAAAAATAAATAAATAATCGTCGCCGGCTTAACAGTTATTGGTTATAAATTGAACAGCTCGAGCGTGAAATATAAAGTGGATTATAGTTTTAATGGAGGGAAACAGAAATGGCAAAAACAACAAAAGCCACTGCCATAGTTTGGAATATATATTAAGGTCCAATTCGAGGGATAAATTGCACAGATAACTAAAGGAAATACAAGTGGGTTGGGTGGGAAATTCAGGCAGAGATTATCTCTGGGCTTAACCGTGAGTTGTTGCTGATGAGCTGCCGATGATGATGTTGATAACTGGCAGGGAATAAAAGAGGTCCAGACAATAAAATAATATTAAGTAGTATAGGGATTAGCTAGTGTCTGACATTATATAAACGATTAGGGGTTTATAGCTCTAGAACCTTATACCAAAATTGTCAATATCAAGAAGAAATTTGCTCTTAAAGTCGACAATAAGCTACATATTTGTATACTACTCAATTAATAGTTTTTTAGAAATTCTATTTCCTTTCCTTAGTTCTTTTAAAATATTATTTACTTCAGCTGCTTACGGTTCTATATTTTCCCAACGCAACATCCCTAGTATTTGTCAAGTATCCTACACAACTTCCCTTCTACTTCCGGCCATCATTATCCCTTTTCCGTAGCAAATTCCACGGATACGTAAACCATTAGATGACGTCAAAACCTTTTCAGAGCAAACAGATTACCGAGGGGCAATGCCCGATTGATGGCTACATGTGTAGACAACTGGGCAACCAGATACCCTCCACCCTTCGCCCACTTTAACCCACAATGCCAGAGTCCCGATTGCCGAACACCAACTAACCCATGGCAGCCAGAAATAAATTAATCAAAGAGCGCGAAAGGACAACAGTTTAGTTTGTGGATCGGAGGGAAGGATTTCAGTTTGGTTGTTTAGGAAATCGTAAATCCATTAAAAGCCTCATTTAGAACGCTTTTGACGCATTTAGAGGGGGGAAAAGTGAGGATAGAAACAGTCCGATTTGGGGATTATTTGTAGGCCCCAAATTGAATCATCCGGTGAGGAGGGCCCCCGGCCAGGACTTTTAATTGTGGACGAATTCGTAATTGATTGTGCCCTCTTATGACTGCCGGCTTTCCACTCAGTTTCCTCTCTGACGGTAACCAGATTTTCCTGACCCGCACTACTGCCTTTGCATAATGGATTCGGGGCAAGAAAAGGCCAAGAAAAAGGGCTGTGAAAAGCGAGCAAAGGGTTTTCATGTCCTACGGGTCTTTCGCCTATGATTATTTCAGCACAGACTGAGAGAATTTCCAACTAATTCCATTCAGCATTTCTCACTCTAACTCATCGGGACGTATTTTGCTTTTTGGTTTGGGTAATTGATTTGCGAAATTGCATATTTTGTATGCCTGATTTTTGTTTGTACAAGTTTCAACAAGAGTGACTGGTTAATTTAGTCAAAAACGGTCTGATTGACAGGCCAATCGAGAAAATGGAATGACGAAAAAAGGAAAATTGAGAAATTAGCCTAAGATGAATGGAATTAATATTTAATATTTGGCTTACAGGCAAACAATTAAGAGTTGCCTTTGGATAATTAAAATCATTTAAAGGTGTCAAGGCATAATGTTATTTTAGGGATAAAAGATTTGATGGCTTACTTGAATATAAATATTGTTTTGATTTAAACAAAGCAAAACTAATTTGAGGAGGTAAGATAAATTACAAAGTTATTTAAACACTTTAGAATACCTAAATATATACACAGTTTAACAACAATTATTTTTATAACTTTATAAAACAAATATAAAAAATAAATAAAGATCTAGTGGTTCCCTTGATACTGCGGTTCTCTTCAACAAAAGCCGCCTCAACTTTTATCTTTAGAGCCCTTGTAAAACGTGTGTAAATACCTTTATTTCTAATAGGGCTTTTATTTGTTTATATGGTCGGATCATTATCTATCCAATAAGCATTAATTCACGCTCTCACACGGCGCGATTATCATTAGCAGACACAGGGACCTATCTGGCTCATAAAACACGGCAAACAGGGCCAAAACACACAGAGATACGTTTGCAGATACAGATGTATTTGCAGATACTCTTACAGACAATCGTGATGTGGGCCAAATGCAATCCAGGCAAACAAGCTGCTAAATTTCGCACGCAGCTCTCAAAAGGCATTTAAGCACGGGGTCTCGAAACTCCGGCTAAACCAAAGATGCTGACAACCATGATGATTCGGGGATGGCAAGAAGGAAGGCCAAGAGCAACTGATGACACACAGCCAGGGAAAAACGAGACCAATCAAGAAAAAGCGAGAGAAAGGAAAAAAACGCAGAGGAATCGCAATGCTAAAGTAGCTAAAAGATACACATGTATCCGCCAGATACCCAGACACTGAGGGAAGTGTGAATTATCCTGCCTCAAAGTATTTAATGCGCTTTACACATGGCAGCAGACAAACAACAGAGCGTCGGCTAAAAATAGCTTACGAAAAAAAATCTCAGAAAAAAACATTGGAAACACATAGATGATCACCATCACTCATCCAAAACAAACACCAAATAAATCGTGGAAAATCAGTCAGTTGAGGGACTTAAGACCCCAAAACAAAAATCTGCTGAAGGAAACGGGTGGAAAATTAATTAAAGAACGTGAAAATGCAACAGGCTGAACCCCGGTTCAAGTTATTAAACATTCCTGGGTTCTTGTTACGTTTTCTTTCTTTTCGGGATATTTTTTAAGCAGGCATTACAAATTACACAACTCCGAAAAGAACTGGTTTACCTTTCCTCAGCCGAAGCCAAAGAGACGATCTACCTGACGTTGTTAACCATCTTTTGAGAGCTACGGGCAGGTAGAATGCGGGTTCGTCGGACCCCTCTCTTTTACTTTTTTTTTCTCTTTGCCCGTCAAGGACCTCCTGCTGTTTTCCCTGGTGGTTGAAAATTGTTTTCTTGGCGCAACAGGATATGCATTTTTTCCCTACACTTCTACTCTGCTCTACAAATTGAGTCTGGAGTTCAAATGAAGACATAAAAAATCCGTTGACCTACATGGGGCCAAACAAAAATGTATGGCGTATATAAACTTCCTGGAATAATCGAAATTTTAGCTAAAATCGTTTGAAAAGAAGGCGTAATAATGCAAAATCTACACTCATAGTTGACTAGTTTTGCCAGTCTTTTAAAACATAAGAATTGGTAGAACCCGACGGTCTTCTCAATGGAAAGAAAGAATCCCGACGGATAACATTTGGTGATGTACTTCCTATAAAAGTCCTAATATATAATTCCTATACTTACTATTTCATTAAAAACTGCTTTATAAGGAAAACAATTTAAACAACACGTAAAATGTTCACCCTATGACCTCCCATTACGCTTATCCTTTATTTTTCAAGCGTTTTATTATAATATTTTAATCTGAAAACTCACCTTTCCGCCTACTTTCAGTTCGTAGCCCATGCCCAGCGGGGTTTTCAGTTGCACCGGGCAGACGAATCCGATGTTGCGGTGGGGACTTTCCACGCCCGTTTGGTGTTTCCTGGTGGTGACCTTGGCCACACTCCTTGTGGGCGTGGCCGCCGTGGAGGCCGAGGAGGTGGTATTCTCCGCCACGCACAAATGCTCCCCGCCATGGACGGGAAACTTGGAGCACTCGAGATTTTCCGGCCAGTTGAAATTGTAGGTTTTCATCAACTTCTCACACACTCTGGCCGATTCGCATAGGGATCGACAGGGCGGTATGGGTATCTCCAAAATTGTGCAGACCGGAACATAGAGTGAGCAGAGGAACAACTGGAGATCATCGCTACAGCCGATCTTCACGAGCGGAGCAAACTGATGGACCTCCAGACCCGCTTCTTCCTGCTTCGTATGGCCAATAAGGTTCGGCATAATGGTCATGTTATAGGGTATATTCTTGCAGATCGAAATAGTGATGGGTTCGCAGCGATTGTGGTGGGGTAGTCCATCCAATTCGGTCCCCGAACTTGGCATCAATCCCCCACCACTGCGATAGTAGGGGCTGGCATCCAGGGGACTTTGATCGTAACGCTGGACACCTTGTATCAAGGTGGGTAAAATAAACAGGATCTGACGCCACATTTTGGAATTTTTCTGTATCGCTCCTTATCTTTGTCAAAGAACTTTTCGGGTATTTATTTCGATTTTGTTAAAGACTTTTAAAACACACACATGTTGCTTTACTTTGCTTGCACTCACTTGTACACCATGAAATATTTATCCAATTTATTTTTTTCGGCTTAGAAACTACACACCCACGAAACACTTAACACCTTTTAAATATTTGCCGGCGGCAAATATTTAGCTTAGCCTTATAAGCAAATAATAAATATTTCTCTCAATTTTATTTGCGTTTGCTTTTGCTATTTATCTTGTTTGGACTTATTTTCCTATTTGCAAACTATTATTACGGTTTCGGTTTTGACTTTGCTGGTGGCGAAATATTATTTTGTCAAATTATACGTTTTGGTGGTCTTAAGACCTTGTTTACGTTGGGTTTTTGATGTTATGTGGCTTTTATCTGGCAAAGTTCCGACTTTGCTTGGACTTTACTTTTTTTTATCTTTCTGTTTGAGGCATTTATACCGTAAGTGCAAATTATTTTTGCCTCCCCCGATTTTATCACTTTCCTTTCTTTCTCTTTAACACTTGTTCGAAAAACGCGCAAAAATAACCGTACACCCGGAGTTGAAACCACTTCTTTTGCACGGGGTTTACGTCAAAAGTCGAAAACGGAGCCGGAGTTCGAGACGAAATTAGTCCGCGAGCACATCCGCATGGCAGGGCATACGCTGACAATCTGAGGAACCGAGGCACTGAGAAAGATATGGACTGGTCGACAGCGAGTCCAAAACACAGGGGTCTTTCGAAGCCGCTCTCTCTCCCCCGCTCCCACGCTGAATATGCGCTCTCTCGCTCCGTGGGTCTATTCAGCTATATGCTTCTTGGGATTGCACTGAGGGCGACCTTGAATTTGACACTCTCGGTGGGTGAGAGAGAGTGCTGGAGAGAGTAGAGTGAAAGACAGGGCTGTTATGCCATTTGTTTGGATGCTGTCCCACTCGCACTCTGTCTCTTCTCAATTTCTTGGCCTCCTGTTGATTAGCCGACAGAAAAAGAAACATCAACAGACGACTAAAAGCGGCAGGAGAATAATAATTAGAATTTAATATGATTATGGTATTGATAGGGATTATAGAAAATTAGGGGCGGAAGTGGGGCTTAAATGTAAGCTCTTTTTGACGGTCAAGAAGAAGGGGTACCCCAAACTATGGTTCGTTTTCGCGCTAACGTTGGTATTTCGAAAAAAAAGGAATAAACTGAATAATGGTACAAATAGTACTAAACAAAATCCTATATTCTAAACATCTTAGAAATGTATTTATTAAATTTAAAAAATATATTTCTGAGGTGGTGCACGATTATAATCGAATCAAATAGTAATTTAACTTTTTTTATTTTCTTTGGTTATTAATTTTATAGTTCTTAAAATTTCATAGCTCCAAGGTGCTTGGGTCATCGCACCCTTTTTATCTTTTTTATCAATCCATCGATGCCCGTTACTATATCCATTGTTCTAACGCCTTAAGTTTTCTTCAGCTATCGCAAGTGCCGTTAGAAGACATTAGCCCTGGAATAGACCTATGATTAGTCTTCTCCCCTTCTTTCTCCTTGGAAATACATATTTGCACGCGTTAATTTCCTCGATTTGCTGCGACAATTTTTATCGCCGACAATTTCTCTGCGCACTTGCATCTATCATTTATCTTTATCTAAGTTTTTTTGTCGTTGGTTTTATTTGCTTGGTTTTTGCTCGGCAGTTAATTAAGTCATTAACTTGCGTTTAATCTGCGCTTTAGCATGAGTTAAGAGAACTTATGCCTGGAATTTCTCTAATGACCCCTTGGTGGGTCGAGAAAGGGGGTTTTCGGGGGGGTTGAGCATCTGCTGCCAGTCAATAAACTTGTTATATTGACAATAATGATGACATTAGAGGAGTCTTCCAGTCTTTGTCTTTGTCACCTGTAGAACCCTTTTCTCCGATCAGGCTCTCTCCCTCTCTCTCTCTGTCCAGCTCCACTTAACATAACTCTTTTGGCAGCACATAACTGGCTTCTCTCACTCTCTTCTGCTCTCTCTCTGGTAAACAAGTGTTACCGGTTTAGCCGGCAATAACGTTCATTCTATGCTCTTTTCCTCAGCTCTCTTCTTGGCTTGGCCTTATGCTCGGCCCCACCACCACCCCCCTGTTTTTGCCCGTTCTTCGCTTCTACACTTCGTCGGCTTGTTTAATAAAAAGCGCCAAAGTTGAGCCGCATAAAAAGGCTCTTTCTTCGCCGTCCCTCAATTCTCCTCCGCCATCCCCACTAGATACACTTCAAGAAATTGTGCATTAATTAAATTAGTAATTTATGTCTAAAAAATGAAACGATGATAAATTCGGTGGAATAATGCCAAGAACGGCGTTTAATTTTCCCTCCAGTGATTTAACCCTTGTGATTTCCAAACAGTTTATTTATTGTTTACCTTTGTAATTCCAAATTGTAAGCTATATTTAACAATACATTTATTTTATTGTTATAAATTCATCCAGGGAAAATGGCAAAAATACATACAAGTCAGTCAAACTACTCACTCCACATTATTTAAATGGACAATTGGATCTTCTAAAATTTTTAACTAAGCACCTCAACATCTATGTGTTAAATTTGAGCCCAAATTCAGAATAGTCAAAAATGTTTAAATATTTTATTTTAAACGTCCTTAGCTTATTATTATTAAACAATAAATAATTAAACAATGATCAATAAAACAATACATCTACAACTTTTTATTTTTAATTTTTTATTCCATTGAAATTTCTCCTTTTATTTTTCTGAAAATCTTAGGTACATTTTGTATGGTTTTAAATATATTAAACATATTTCTTGGACTCGGCATTTTTTTTCAGTGCATATATGTCTTGGCTTCTGGCTCCATTGTTGTTGTTCAGTTGGTTTCCGTTGCCGCTTGTTGTTGGTATTGCTGCTGTTTTGCAGTTGCCGCTCATTTTATGTTTACAAGTGAACGAACTTTGACGTTTTACTCGCTCTCTCTCTCTCTGTCTGTCGCTTTCTGTCCTGCTCCCACATCTTTGTTGGAAAGTGATTCTGTTGTTGTTGTTCTTCTGCCGTGTCTGTTTTTGGAATATGTAATTTAATGTAATTAAAATGGAATAAAGGCTAAAAATAACACCCCGAATGCAGATGAACTTCATTAGATAAGCGAAAGTAAAATTGAATTAGCCTTTTCCTCTTTCTCACCTAACCTTTCTCAGGTTTTTAGGGAATAATTGTTTTTAATGACAGTTAATAAGGGGTTTGTATAGCATATCAGGTAACTACTGGTGAAATTATACATTAATTGAAATAAATTGAATTCTTACATTTATGAAACGCTTTTTAGAAAAGAATTCTTCATATATTCTTATTCATTCTATATTTCAAAGAATGTCTACAAACACACTTTTCTAATAAAAGATAAGTTTATTTAAATTGTATAACAAGATATAATAATAAATACATAGTATATGTATGTAATTTAACAAAATCATTCAATACAAAAAAACCCCTTATTTCCTGAGGCCAGATTTTTAATGCTTTATTGTGGTTAATTTGGGATTACGATAGCTTTTTCCACGCTGATTTCCCTCTCCAATTAGGCTGATTAGAGTGGTTCTTGTTTCCCCTTCTTGTGCAACTCCTCACGCCTGTGATTATAGAGACCTCTGCGCCAACGAAAAAGGAAACCCAACTCATTTGTAGCCAACAAAATACAAGGGATAAACAAATCAATCCGCACAAGTTCAGTCATGTCTTGCATGGAAAGCCAAAAAATAAACAACCCCCCGGACCCACATGTGGGCTAATGCAAAAGGGACTTGGCCCTAAGCCATAAAAAGGGTTTTCAGTTACTTACATAGAAAAATACAAGTATTTACTTTTCGTTTGACCCTCCCAGAAACCCACACCCCCTTCGAGTTGAGTGGGCGTCTCATGTCACATTAGTGCAAACCCCACTCTTAACCCCAGAAAGGTCACGTGGCAGGCGAAAACTTTCGCCAAGAGTCACACACAGAAACCTAAGTGAAATGTCAACTTTTAACAGAGAGCCCACAAATAGTGATGGAAAATTTCTAGATACATTACGTACCTCTATTCCAAGGTATGTTTCCATTTTAATAACTCATTTAATATGGTTAAGGTTCGTCTTATAACTCTATCTATAAAAAATATATTATAAATATTTTCTACAATACAAACAAAAAGATAGAAAGAAGATACATTTCATATTTTTAATACGAAAATAATATTTAAATATATTTAAAAAATTAAGATTAAAGTATTCAGCTACAATGTTGGTCCAATTTTGTGCTTTTACTGACTTGTTATTTTTGTGAATTAAACTTGTGTTTTGCCTTAGCTAAAATAAATACTTCCTTCCCATCACTGACCTCTAACGACCCAAGGCACCCATAGACCACCCCTTTTAGGAGCTCACTTCCCTCTAATTAGATGTAAAAGCCCTTGGAAAAGCCCCTCAAGTGTATCTCTTGATTAAAAGTTTACAGTATTTGGTTTGGTTTTTGTACTCGGATTTTTACAGATCATTTGTTGCCATTTGGGCAATCACAAAAGCCTCCGGTGGAATTCATCAACTGCCCTCACAGTTTCCTCGTTTTTTCCAGCCGCATCCAGACTTTTCTCATAAATAAAACATTTATTTACTTAAAAACAGCCAGCGGCCAAAAGCTCAATTAAATTTTTTGAAAAATTGCCAACGTAGACTGGCCTGGAAAAAGGGCAAAGGTGGGGTAAATGAAGGTTTGGACTCGGAACTGGGCATTGGTCAAGCATCGTTTGCTGCAATCAATCAAAGGGAAAAACGGAATCTCATTAAGTTGGCCGTCTGGGTTCAATGCCCCCACCAACTGTTGCATGATATGGGTGGATTTGTGGAGGCATACAAGTTTGAAAAGAAATTAAACCGAAAATATGTTATTTTGAAAAATTGAAATTTCTGTGGAGAACGTAGAAATAATAATATAAGAATAATAATGCAATAATAAATATATATCTCTGTATATTTTAAAGGGATATTTGTTAAATTTACTAAGTACAACTTTAGTTTTCCTTCAATATTTCCCTAGACAATCGCTTTTAATGCTATCTCCAAACTATCAATAAACACTTCCTGCCACATTTGATTTGCTTGGGATGAATTATAGCGCAATTCTTATGGGCGGATGCCCACCTCAAAGCCTTCGAAGTAGATTCCATCGCTCCACCATCTTTATGACCTCTCCGACCGCGCGCATAATTAATTGTACACCCCGCCCACCGACCGACGCCCACTTACCGCCGCCCCCCGGAGGCTAAAGGTCAGGAATACCGGAGTTCGCTGCGGTTCTATTTGGTTAAGGCTGCCCCTTGACTGCCTCGGCGGCTTGGGGTCGGTCTTTGGCTTTTGGGCTGCGGAAATTTGCAATTCGCTGGGCGCAGGCAATGCAATATCGCCCGTTTTCCCGTTCTCCCCCCGAGGGGGGAAATCTGGCAAACCAGCATACGCTGCGTATGCGTGATAAATGTGCCCCGGTGTAGGCGGAGCAATTGCTGCACTCAACCGATTCTAGGTGCAACTTTTTAGAAGTAACCTATTATACAAAAGTTAAGAAAGTAAATAATTAAAAAAATATTCCGTTTTTGCATATTCACCTATTATTTGTTTTAAAGAGTTCAATGAGTTGGCTTATGATGAATTTTAAAATGTGTAAT